CATGATAATTTGCGCAATAGCCTATTTTAGATTCCAGTTTATATAGGGAAATCGCTATCGTAAACCTCATCGTTACCAACACTAACCACGCTAACATCTCTAGGTACGGCCACAGTAACAGTGACACAGCAGCGACAGCGACAGCGACGATGATGTTGTCGAACTCTCCTAACTGTTTCGCATTCTGTAAACTTACTCTAAAGATCCTGTTTGTTTGCAATCGATGCGGCGCACACTGTCTCTCATGTATATGGAAGACAATTTATGAAAAATTTGTCGACCTTAGAATACCGGCCATAGCAATGCTGACATTTCTGTAGCGATCGTTAAAAATTGAATTATTGCGCCAAGCTACTGGCTTGACCGCGTTTCTTTGAAAATAATATTCCATTTGTATTAACGTAAAGTAAACTTCAGCAGTATAATAAGAAGTGTAACGCAAACATGGTTAACAAGAGTTCTACCGCGTCATAAACACGTAATTGTTTATATATAGTAACGTGTAGATAAGAAGAGTCACTTAAAAGGAGTCTTGAAATGCCAGCACTGACAGCCGATGAATACAAGGTAGTAGGTGGAATTCCTGAACAGTTTCTGTTAGTTTAGTTCTGTTATGATTGAGTGGAGTGCCCGTCGATTACCCTAATGTAATTATTACGACACGCCAGCTTTTATCGAAATTCTTTTTAAAGAGACAACCCATTATTTCGTTAGTGACGAGAATTGCATTCCGGCCTCTGAAAATATCGGACATGCGGGAGAATGTTACTCTTGCACTTTCCATTCTGCGAAGATTGTCCAGCATGCTATTTCGCAATTACTGCTACTACGTCGGGCGCCATGACGTGTTCAGTTATCAGTTAAGCGGCAAGGTGAATGAGATTAGCGTGAGTAGACACGGTTGCGGGACGTTCTTTTACGCAGATGCCTGCGTTCTGGGACATCAACTCGGATTGTCGCTGAGTAAAACAGACAACTAGCGGAGCAGACAAACGGAATATCCTAGCACATATCTTATTGAACGTTTGTCCGGCAATCGTACGGTAAACTTAAACGGAAGGGCTCCCAGATGCAACCTTATAGGGATTTGGGACATAAAGCCCGGCGCACACGTGAGTAATTTTACTCAAGTAAAATGATGCATGCGTCAAAATACTTACGTGTGCGCCGAATTTTCGTTGAGTTTTCTGACGCATGCATCATGCGCACAGTCACGTGATCTACATTACCACTTATACCTTGAGTAATTTTACTCACGTGTGTGGCGGACGCTGAAAATATTTCGCGTGAGTATTTTTACGCATGCATCCTTTTACTTGAGTAAAATTACTCACGTGTGAGCCGAGCTTTACGGATTATAGACGCTCGCATCCCAGACCGTTGGGGCGGAAAGAGCACTACAACTCTAGAACGTCTGCCTAACGCAAGCAGAAACATCTATAAAATGATTGTCAGAGTTAGTGTTGAACAATAAATATCAACTAGGCGTCGAAAGTGTTTATAACATAAAAAATTATGTTAAATAATAATTATAATAAAAAACACTAACGAGAATTTGGACCTTGTGAATGACATCAATAAATGTTATCATCGCGATCGAACACTGACAGGACTGAACAAGATGTCATTCTTTGTCTGCGATATTTCTGTGGTATATATCCCATCGCACCGCATCACATCAAAAAACAAATGCTCATAAAACATGAGCTCACAAGTCAAATGCTAATAAAATATAAGCTCACAAGTCAAATGCTCATAAGATATAAGTTTACAAGTCATGATCATGAGCTTACAAGATATGAGCTTACAAGATGTGGGCCCACAAGACATATTTACAGAACGTTTTATGAAATTTTTACTTACTGTCGCATGCATTAAAATGTCTATGAACCAGCACAAATTAAGAAAAACGTTTCGACAGTCTGCGATAGCACTGACCATTATTTCACGACATAAAAGCAGTAAACTAGTTGGCAAGCAGCGCAGGCGTAATACCTACCTACAAGGGGCTGCTGAAAGCACTAAAGAGAATGTGCAAGGGCCTTAAAGTGATTACGTCACGAATTTCTAGCACCATGAAGTAGTATATTTGTGTGTTATTTGTACAAAATAAAATGTATGAAAATACAATTAGTGTTTCTGTTTACTTTTTATGCTTATATACCTTATTTATATGCGCTAATTTGCCGGTGAAAAACAGAGAGACGCCAGTATCTGAACAGTACTGGGGGAATAGTGTTAGACAACAGAAATTACCAAATCTTCTAGATTTTTGCAAATTTAACCAACGTAAAAACATTTTTATCAAGTGAGAGTTTGAGGATATATTTAATATCGTTAGTTCTTACTTTTAATGCAAAAAATAGAAATTTTTGTTTTTACAAATTTTACCATGGAAAATTCGTGACGTAGTCAATTTAATTGTGAATGACATCAGCAGATTTTCTCATCGCGATCGAACACTGATAGGACTAAACAAGATGTAATTCTTTGTCTGGGATATTTCTGTGGTATGTGACACTGTATATAAGAAACGCTTGCTGGTATTTCTCATTTGGCGTATTAGGTTTATGATATGGCGTGCCAGTATTTAAAAAAATCTCAAAATAAGATGTGTACACTTACTTCTTTATCTGTTAGTGATGTGAGCATATGCCTTTAGAACATATGTCTGTGTGGCAGTCCATTTATAAGAGAGCAATTACAAAACGAGAAGGCATAATGGGAAAAAAAATTCTCCAATGTACGATGACATCAGTAGAGAAATATGTAGATATACTGTTTCTGCTTGTATTAATACATTGCGCCTATAAATATTAACCTAATGGCCTTTAAGGGCAGCTTGATGCGAGATTATGCGATATTACGCGTTTAATTGCGTGGGGGTTTCTGTTGTAACTGCGACACTGAATAATTATAAACGCTATACATTTTATTATTCGAGGAATTCTATCTCGAAGTATTTTGGATGCCGGGAGAGTGTCTATATGATCTCCAAGAAATAGTATGTATTGATTGTGCCATATAATAGCTTGCGGCACAAGAAGAGTCGAAATCCCATTAACGATTATCAGCTCATTTGTCATGTCATACATACAGTGTTGCGCAATTCATCATGATCGCACACCGCCACTGAAAGTTATTACATTCGCATAGAGTCATCGCCAGCACAGCGCCGACATGCGCTGCCCGCCCGCCTATCTTGCCTGCTTGTCGTGCGAACACGAATCGTGTCATCGCTGTACGACTTCCAGAGGAAGCCCCGCACAGCATCGTCAGGTTACTGCTAGCAAGGCCTCGAGACAATCTTCCGATGACTTACGATTTCGTCGCCAAGCAACGAGCGTTACGCGATGCGCTAATCCCGGATTAACGTAACTTGAGGTGAACATCCGTTGCGACTAGTCGATAGCGTTTTTATCGAGCTGGCCAGGATTGCGCAACGTTTTACGCATACATTTTCTGTTTTCCATCACCTTTCCGAATATCATGAGGTAATTATCAATTTATCACGAGTGCATAAATAGAGAACTTAGCTCATCCCACCATGTAATCTGTCGGCAAATATCAGGTCATCACATTATGACGATGACATTATACCTAGCGGGCTGTAAGCTGTGTGTGTGTGTGTGTGTGTGTGTGTGTGTGTGTGTGTGTGTGTGTGTGTGTCGTGTGTTGTGTTTGTGCGTGCGTGTGTGCGTGTGTGTGTGGTGTGTGTTGCGTGCGTGCGTGCGTGGCGCGTGTGTGTGTGCATTGCGTGTGTGCGTGCGTGTGTGTGTGTGCGCTGGCGCGTGTGTTGCGCGTGTGGGTGTGCATGCGTGCGTGCGTGTGTGTGTGTGCGCGCGTGCGTGCGTGTGTGTGTGTGTGTAGGTGTGTGTGTGGGGGGGGGCAGCTGCTTGTCCTATGATTATAGCGGAAAATAAAACACCATAAAGAGTAATCGCAAATAAAGCTAAAAATGCAGAAAATCCCCGCATCCTAACCTTATCATAGAATGATAAACATACAATGTTATTTTTCCTTGTCATTCGGCAGGCAGGTCACGAAATTGAGCACCTATTTTGTTCGTGCTAGGGACTTGCGCTGTTTATATGCACAAGAACCTTGGGGCCTATTTTACATACGGATATAGCGAACGTACCCAACGCACAAGGCCATTGAAGGGAAGGGCAAATTACCCGTGAACGCGTGAATGCGAGTTGTTTACGTGTCTTTGCAATAAGGAAATTTGGAATGGTTTTAGTAGTAAGTGCATCAGCAAATCACAGTAGCAGAGAATATTATTGTGTTATATATTTTTGCGTTATTGTACTGTGTGGAGTAGACTATTTTGTAATAAATTCTAATGTATTCGCGGGTTTCAGTTGTTCATGTTTCATCTACAAGATATCGGCGTTTGAACTAATCAATTAAAATGACCTACAGTGGGATTTATGCTAGGCGTATTCTCAGAGTGTAATGCCGATTCCGTAAGCGTATTTCAATATCGCTCTCAGATGTATCAACGATTCATGTTTTCACTATTGTTTACGTGGCCAGTAAAAGATGGCGGCGCAGTGCGAGAGCCGTATACGTGTGCTCGCGGATAAACCAGAGGTACGTAGTTAGGTCTGCATAGTCTCGGTTCGGTCCAGGGTTTGACACATTCCAGAGACGGATCATTCGTTGTCTCAAGGTTACCTTAAAAGCTGTTAGATGATATGGAGGGCACGTATTTTTTTGAGCCTGCGCGGGTGGGGCAAGTCAGACTGTGGTTATAGGTAGGGTAGTGTAATAATTCTTTGTGTTTGTGGAAGAGAACATATAATCGGACTGCGGGAGAGGTATGACTCACTGTAGATGATCGAGAAGAAATATAATCAGAATGTAGGTGAGTGGTATTCTTACGTCTTACTTCTAGCGTACCACAGAGCCAACTAAGATTCGATATGGATAATCGATGAGTCAGGTGGTATAATGGACAAAATAATGAGATGGTAAAGTGATAATCATAAGCGAAATTGAAAATCGAACACAAATGTTTTTGTATTGAACAAAGTTTTTTTAGTATAAAGGCAAACGTAACAAAATCATAGCCATTTGATTGGCAGTTAACAGTTGTAGATTGCATAACAGTAACAGGTAAAAATATTACATATACTAGTATGTACAACGTGAGTGAGCAGACGACAATAACGTGCACAAACAAGAAGTCCCATTGAGTGAGTTAATATAATAATGTCGAGATGCATGAGTTCGGCCATGATCCCAATTAACACCACTGTTGTTAAAAAAATATCAAAATGTCTACGAATTCGAGATATGCGGTTATTTACAAAATACTCATCGCAAAGCACCTTAAACATGCTTACACCCGTACAATTCATACAGCAATGTAGGTCGCGACAAAATTCGTTCGAAAATATTTTAGTACATGCTTTTTACAATGTCGTATTGACGATAGGCTTACATAGTTGCACATATCTCGCGAAGATCTGACACTACCGACCGGTTTTTCTGCTGAGAATACAACGCGTATTTACAATTATGTTGCAATACTACGCGCAGAGCTACGGTAAAATCCCCGCCATTTCGATGACGCCTTGTAAAGCATTGTGTTAGCGCGGCACCAAGTGGTAGTTTTGCTAATAAAATCATCGTTGCGTTGATAGCAAAATAGTGACTTAAACGTAGGCTCGCGGACTGAAATTGCCAAGTGCTTTCCATTATTCTAGCACCCATTTCAAACTCAAATTCACAGTTACTGTCGTTAATCACGTTATATTCAATGGCGACCGTGTCCGCCCCCGTATCCGCCCCGGTATCCGCCACCGTATCCGCCCCGGTATCCGCCACCGTATCCGCCACCGTATCCACCACCGTAACCGTATCCGCCCTGGGATGCCAGTATTATGTCATACACAGGGTAGACTCCGTGATGATAGTAGTGTGGAATATAATAGTCGTAGCTGATTTTGGGATAGAACACGTCACCCAAACCGTGATTTCCATGACGGCCGTAACTACCTGATGCAAAGTTGATCAGCTGCAGAGAAAGGAAAAAAACGACATCTATACACACGATTTTTGCTCAGTTAGTGTCCGTAACCACGAATATAGGACCTTCTCCCGTAGCCACCTCCGTAGCCTCCGTAACCACCCCCGTAGCCTCCGTAACCACCACCGTAGCCACCGTAACCACCCCCGTAGCCTCCGTAACCACCCCCGTAGCCTCCGTAACCACCACCGTGGCCTCCGTAACCCCCGTAGCCACCGTAACCGAGGTAAAGGAGGTTCTCATATAGTCTGGGAACGTAGTCGTAACCGTCGAACGAGGCGATCTTGGGCTTGTAGAAGTTAGGGCCGTAGTATCCATATCCACCGGATCCAGATGCTACGCTAACCAGCTGTGAGAAAAACACATTTGCGCTATTTTAGGTCGAATTTTTGCTTATTTGAGAAGCGTCTATAGGTGCGCGCGCTAGACAAGCCATACCGTTGAATACGTTCTACATCTCTCTGACCCTGCTATCGATAATCGTAGTCAAAGTAAGAAATGTTATCAGCAATGTCGAATCAATCCTTCTGAACAGGCTGTAATAGCGAGCCGTTATTTAACTAGTAGTTGGAAGGCTAGTAGACGATATCGTTTTATTGCTTCAAACTTATTAGCTATTTCGCTCGTTCATTTAGGATCCGATGAGCCGACTGTGTGTATATTTTATGCAAGACATTGCACGAGTTTTTCACGACGTTAAGCTACAACAAGTACGATAAGCAAAACATGAGAGATGTTATCGCGAATTTATGCCTCAAAATCTTTTACTATAGAAGGTCAAATCTGAACTTTTTGACCTATTTCGTAAGGAACTGTAGCACATCAATTAGATAACTAATGTGATTTTGCGATAGCGATTCGCGGTGACGTATCGATTAACCGGGCGACGTGACGTACATCTCAAGCCAGTTTTTACGTTTATATATCGCCTATTTTCCTGCTACACAAGCACCAATCTCGTGCGGACTAATGCGGCTAAGCATCATTACAGACTAGACACAAACCCATAGGCCATGCGGCATAGCAGAGCACGTCGGCTCTAACATGCTGCGATAATGCTACCTTATTATCACATTTGATGGCATTTAGAGAACAATTATTCTATCGAATAGAAAGGTGAGCTGTGCAGAGCGTATCCGCATGCATTGCACGTTAGAGGTTTTAAGGTTTCAAACCGGTTACAATGGCCAGTGCCTGCTACTGGTTATGAAACGACTAAAATCCTACGTTCCCCGTTAGTATAATATATTATACGGTTAAAGGAAGATATTACCAGCAACGGCGCCATCTAGCGTTAACCAATGATTTACTGCCATAACACTTGCAGTGCTGAGTTCGTAAGCGCGCGGTCGCGCTATCCATATGCCTTATAAATTCCTGCCCGTAATATAAATCGTTTTAGGTTTGCTGCAGTTACTTCCAATCTCAGCCTGCAATATCTTGGGAACTTTACAATACATAATATGCCATCGAAATGCCAACGTCACTACTGGTAGCATGTATATGCTATTAGATACAACTTATATCTGACACTTCATAGCATCAAGAGTAGATAATAACACTCTTGATAGCATACATACTCTCGCCTAGCAGTAGCGTAAGCTTTGCGGGCATAATATGGACACTATAACCGCGAGTGTCTATCCGTAACGCGGTAGTCTACGTACTAACTGTTGATGGTAGCTATTAGTAAGTGTACTTACGGCGAGCATCGCAACAGCAGCGAGTATCACAGCGGTCTTCATCTTAGTCTAAAACAAGTGAAAGAAATACAGTTGTAAAAACTGCTATTGTAGCAAAAGCAACAGGTTATCATAAATATTGTTCGACGCAAGCCACACGTCTCCATTTGGCATCCAGACTTCATAATACCGTAGCTGTGCATGAAGTGCGGTTCTAATAATACTTCATTAGGTAAAATATAAATTTATTGCGTAATATGCATGATAGTAAGCAAATTACAGCATTATCTACACTTAGCGTTTTAAGTGTAGATAAGACTAGAATGCTTTAGCTAAACTCGCATTCACCTCTGCGTGCACTCTATCAATTATTTATCTTTTTGTTAGAATTCATAGGTAATTCTACTAGTTTCATGAAAGGAAAACTTTCTAGAACAGGCTACTTTCTAGAATAGGCTAGAATACTGTTTTTCTAGAATAGGCTAATTTCCCAGCTGCGGTATTTATTTTCGAAATCTCACGATTAAAACGTTTACAGCGAAGCAGAAATACATAACTATGGATAGCAAGCCTTACCTTACTCTTACCTCTTTGGGGCGTTGTTTGAAACTTGTAGGTTCTTTCACGTCGTGGCTATAAGCGAGTGGAATGAAGACGACGGAGAGGGCAAGGGTATATATATCGTATATCTGCCCCGATGACCGGCATTGTGCTTGACCACCACCGTCACGAAAACGAAGCAGTTGCATTCGTCGTTACATAAGTGTAAGCGCTTTGAAAATCCGTCACAACGCGTTGTTAGCCATTCTACCCTGCGCTGCCGGGCGGCCGAACTTTAACCACGTTACTACGGGATGAAGACTACGTACGTTTGGCCCCTTGCTTGCCTATTCACGTTGGCGTTGTGAACCTCTAGGATGTCGGACGGGCGTGATGTTATCTCTATCGCTCTCATTCTCGATTTAGGCGCACGTCTCGATTCTTCGTTCAGACCATTGTTGGTTTTGCTGCCCCGTAGAAACGGCAGACACTTGGGTGGCTTAATTTCAGCCGTAGGTGGACCGCAAACATACGGACCGCGGCGGGAATCGGGGCAAAGGTAAAAACCCGCGGATTTTCCATGCCAACCAGTGCGTGCATTCGTGTTTACCCACTCCGCGACGGTTTTGTTATCGCGTTCATTGTGCACAACTTTCCCTTTAGAAAGGCACGTTGCCGGCTCGTGATGACGGGTTGCTCTAGTTCGCTCCGATCTGCACGCACCATCTAGAGTGCAATGCATTCCAGCATCGGGGGCGATCGGCTTCCCGTTAGCCTTAGCAGCTGCATCGTCTGGGGTTGATGTTGTAGAGTGCCACTGCTGACCCATTATTCACATACCGTGCTGCGGTCGATGGTCTTATTTCGGAGGTTTTCACTTCTTTCGTGTAATGTGTGTCGTGTCTTTGCTGATTTGTTGCCTTTCGCGACAGATGTTATCTGCTATATGCGCATGCCGTCGGGCCCTATCTATGACGTGGCTACACACACTCAGTAATAAAGGCAACAACAATAAAATGTCCTTAATTAGAAGAGATCGGTTGCGCTGGACATTAACGTAATTTTACGTACATAGGCCGCGAAACATCTGTGTGGCAATAGCTACGGGGCGCCATGCAGGTCAGGGCTCAATTTTGTCTAACAAAACTCAATTCTGTCTCACAAAACTCACTTTTGTGCACACAACTCAATTCTGTCTCACAAAAGTCAATTTTGTGAACACAAAACTCAATTCTGTCAATCCTGTCCCACAAAACTCAATTTTGTAAACACAAAACTCAATTCTGTCGAACCGGTTCCACAAAACTCGATTTTGTTGCCCAAATATGGCACACGCATGTAAGAAGGGCTACCATTGGTCAGAAGAAACTAATGGTAGCCCTTCTTACATGCGTGTGCCATATTTGGGCAACAAAATCGAGTTTTGTGGAACCGGATTGACAGAATTGAGTTTTGTGTTTACAAAATTGAGTTTTGTGGTACAGGATTGACAGAATTGAGTTTTGTGTTTACAAAATTGAGTTTTGTGGTACAGGATTGACAGAATTTAGTTTTGTGTTTACAAAATTGAGTTTTGTGGGACAGGATTGACAGAACTTAGTTTTGTGTTCACAAAATTGAGTTTTGTGGGACAGGATTGACAGAATTGAGTTTTGTGTTCACAAAACTCATTTTTGTCAAGTTTATAAGTACAAAAATGCCTGTCCTGCATGGCGCCCCGTAATAGCCACCTATATAGCGTGGAAAGAATACCTTCATGCGAACGGCCGAAAGAGAAATTATCTGACAACAATGGGGGATAATAGTGAGTGTGCACGGAGAGACCAACCAACTCCTTTCTCGTGCCTGAATCGACTCACCTAATTAATGTCGACACGCTTGAATCTCGCTGAAAACATTAAAGTTACACATGTGTTCAGATGATATCGAGCGGAACTCTCGTGAATTAAGCAATAAAAGCTAGTTAATTTAATACGCTATTGCAAACAGGCAAACGTGTAAAAATTAGGAATAATTGAAATAATTGGAATCGCTTCCTCCCACGCATAGTCAGTCACACGCTGTGACAACCACGCAAAAATTGCGTAGTTTCTGTGCAAATAAGCGAAATACAAACTACAAGAACACAACGATGCTTGTAAAATATTTCTTGATATTTATATATTCCAGACAAAAATCTAATTTTAATTAATAGTTACAGTTACGCTCATACGTCAGATGTGACCATACCCGCGGAAAACAATGGGCGATTTTATACGTGGATTTCAAGGAATAGTTTACTACTTTTTATAAGCGATCAGAGAAAGTAGTTGCGAAGATTGTTTCATGACGATGCATTTGTAACTAAAAATTCCTAATAAAGTCACAAGTAACTGTTACTTTGTTTTCAGTCACATAGCATGGAGAAGGTGATATATGTAAGAATATCTCGCTAAGTGTTAGATAGCGTTATTGCAAGTGTCAGTGTTTTTGTGCGATACCTTAAATTAATATTATTTGGAGATATATGTTCCGTTCACAATGTGTTTATTTGATTTGATCTGCATGCACTAGTGATACTGATTTTTAATCAATTACTAATTTCACATAAAAATAAATTTATCTCAGTTAGATCCATAATAAGTTATAAATACTTAATAACTTATTATGGAACTAACTGAGATAAACATATTTTTATGTGAACTATAGAGATCCGATGAAATTATTCAATCAATTACTAATTTCGGTTTTGATAGCTTGGCCCATGTGTGTCTGTGATAGATAGTACTTCTGCTAAAGCTAAGCTCAACTCTTGTTGCATATAAAATGTTCATATAGTTTCTTTGCGGAACATTAAGTCTATAGCCTTTCCACGGTTTAGGCCTAAACGACAAGACCATTTATTCTTCGAAGTATAGTCTTAAGGGGTGGGCAGATTTTCAGTAATAGCCCAATGGGCTCCTATTTTTACGAAACTCGGTATTCGCTTTCATTATCCTCCCCTTGTAAGCCAGAGCCAGAAGATTCATATATAGATATATATTAAATATTCATATATTTATATATATCAAGATATGTCAGAAGCATCATAAATAGTTTTGACAACAAAAATCTAAGGTCTCATCACTTTGGCAGGTGAGATGTCGTTTAAAAAGTTTAGATTTTAAAGTTATCACGTCATAACTATTTATGTTTCTGAAAATTAGCCCCAGTGGCTTATCTCTCTCCTTTTATACACATTGTGTCTAATTCGCGCAATTATCGAAATTCTGTAATTGCTCTCGTGTCGTAAATCGTTCATTACATCCTGTTCTAAACAACAGGGTGCAACACTTGAGGTGACTGGATTAGCCTACGTGGTATATGTTATCAGCTATGCTCACCCAACCTCGGTGATGGCGTCGCGACATTTACGCTCATAACTAAATACGCGTTATCGCCTGCCGATCCCGAAACGCCAATCTCCAAGATTAGAAAAACAACAGGCGATGTAGCATAACGTACACCCGCATCATGATAAACCTCCCATTTCACATTCATTTGCGCATGCATGGGCAATGGGTCAAATCCGAGTTTGACGCGCATCTATACATTTTAACGACAGCTATGAGGCACTTTGTTAGACGTCTACATGCTCGTGCGGAATGACGAAGGAGATGCTTGCCGTGTGCCACACCTTACCATCGGGATATTACCAACTGTCTTTCATCTCGACCTAAATCAATACCCACATGCGCTCACGCACACTGACCACGCGTACGAAAGCAGATTTCTGCCGCGGTTTGTCGACCAGATGTGGGTTATATTGTGATTGTTTCTTTTAGAGCACTGTCTTCTAGACTGTATTTTCACGTGTGGAGACATCCGTAGACGAACTGATAAGATGTGCTGAGAGGCGAACATCACAATAGCGTAAGCGGGTCAGCAGACATTTCTTCACGCAGCACGTACGCATTCACGCATGCGCGTGGGATTCCGAAACTCAGGTATGGTCAACGGAAATACATTTCAAACTACGGTTAAACGCGTACCTCTTTTTCACATTGTCTGACCTACATGTATTACCTACTGATGCATTATCGATAACAGTGCAAATTTATGGAGCAAAGCAACCGAATGTAATTCGTTCAATGAGATAAAATGTTTTCGCCCACTTTTGATGTTCTGTTAATAGTTTGATGTTATATTTTTGTGAAAACAAACCATGTTCGCCTATCAGAAGTAACAGCAATATGTATGAAACTTCAAAGCGGTTGTATTCGAAGTAATTTTTTTTGAATTTCACCTTTATATGTTAAGTGCGTGATATTCAAACAGACTTTTGAGCCGAGCCGATAAACTAGGAAACTGATGGGTCGTGATATTCCTAAACCTTTTACGTTGTGCTACTCCGCGTAATTCCGGCATGCAACGCACAAGCACTGGCATGCATAAGAGCAGATGAGATAAGAGCAAAACGCATAAATACGGGTTGTGCCGAATTCCGCCGACCTTTCCCGACAATGGTCGTTCGCACCGATCACGTGATTCTTTTCCGCGTATAAGCGCTGCAGGATTTTGAGACGTCATGCCAGCCGGCACGCGTTGATATCTTCGTTCATAATCTGATTTGTTTCGCAGTTCGCTCAGTTCGATTCGCAATGACGCTTCACTATTTCTTAAGCACTGGAGTTGAATTTGGAATAATAATTAATTTTTCTGGATAATAAGGAAACGCTTAACAACTCATTCGGTATCATTGTGATCATATGCTCTCTTCTGTTACTCGTGGGCGTACGGAGAGAGAAGGGGAAGGAGAGACAGAGAGAGCAAGATAGGGAGAGAGTGAGAACGGGTGGAAGAGAAAGGGAGAGAGAGAGAGAGAGAGAGAAAGAGAGAGAGAGAGAGAGTAGAGGAAAGCGCAAAGATAAAAGGCAATCCGAAAGATCAATGCCACAATAACATAAAGCCATCGCAATTAATTCAGAGAACTATTTTATTTATTACAAGTTAAACGCTAAAAGTTTATAAAACAGAATAGGTCCTGTGAAACCCGTAACATGGTTTGCATTATATAGGGCTATGTAGATATAAATATACCAACCTACACTTATAACAACATAACTGAAAGTGCCATGGGCTAAAGCCGACAGGCGTATGTATAACAGCTCTATACGTATTAATATAAACGGTATTACATTGGCTAACTCGAATTTGGTATTACTTGACAGGTTACACTTTGGATTTCAGCCGACAGAGTTCTGTGGCACGGTAGATTTAGTTGTAGTACCCACTATGCCTATACGCAACAGTGGTATATTCGAATGATCACATATTCTTACGCTGAGCAGATCGTCGAAATAAGTTAGAGAAACGTTAGAAGTTGCTAACATAATTTAGTGACCGTAGGCTCTAATATAAACGGGCCTTCCGTAGCCATATCCGCCGTATCCACCGCCGTATCCACCGCCGTATCCACCGCCGTATCCACGACCGTATCCACCTCCGTATCCGCCGTATCCTCCTCCATATCCGTAGCGCCTGTATCCGCCTCCGTATCCGCCGTATCCTCCATATCCGTGGCGCCTGTATCCGCCTCCGTATCCGCCGTATCCTCCATATCCGCGGCGCCTGTATCCTCCGTATCCTCCATATCCGTGGCGCCTGTATCCTCCGTATCCCCCGTATCCCCCGTATCCACCATATCTTCTGTGGCCTCCGCCGTAAGCATATGCGGTAGCCACCTATAAATTGTTCAAGCATATGACGATATAACGACTGGAAGCTTTTACTGTCTACATGACTTTCGATATTTTTACACCTATACCACACATATCCATTCATCCATGCACCCACCCATCCACCCATCTATTTATCCATACATCCATCCATGCATGTATCCATCCGTCCATTCATGCATCCATCTATGCATTCATCTATCCAGCCATTCACGCATCCATCTATGCATTCATCCATTCATCGATCCGTCCGTCCGGCTATTCGTCCGTTCGTCCGTCCATCCATGCATCTATCCATCTATCCATCTATTCAGCCATCGAACCATCCATCCATCTACCAAATCACTCATTCATCAATATAATAATGATCCGTATGTCAACATTTTGCTTGTCCGATATTTTACAAACCAGGCTAAGGTTCTTGGCGCCAGCCGCTATAACGAAATTAGCCCGCTAAAATTAAACTTTGTCAGAGTTGCTCACCAAGACAGCCAGGCAGAGAAGAATCGTGGTAGCCCTCATTTTCCTACAATATACACAAACGCCATATAGATACCAAACTATACTCTAGGAACTACCCTAAATTCAAAACAATATAAACATAATCCGAAATTATTTAAATTAAGTACGGAAATGCTCTACATCGCACTGTTATCATGTCCGATAAACTACATCATATATTGCATTGAAAACGCATCTTGACAAAATTAATCAATCGCACATTTTAATATCCTGCTTCTCATAAAGACGCATTTTGATCGTTGATAAATGCTGAAAACAGAATGAAGCAAACGCGATGTAACCTAAATCATTGTAACTATCAGCAGCTACATGTAATCATGCAGCATTATCGTTTCATTTGCAGCCCGAGTGAAAAATTGAGCGAGGTTCAATCAGAAGCCGTGTGCATATAACAATAATAACTTACGGTTACGTATCGTGGAGTACTGTGCTCGGTATAACTTCTTCGGCAGAGAGAGCGACGGTGATGCTGTCCTCTACCTCCATCCGGCTATATATGCAGACTTCTCTCGACTGTGACCCCAAAATTCATGACGTCTCTCTGCCAGAAGATACACGGTAGGACACACCATGTGACCTTCACAGTCCATCGTTCTCATTACATCAATCATCCGTGCACGTGGGGTTCAAGCCATAGCCATACACGACTTCTTGCAAAACGCACTAGAAACGTAGATGGGTGTAGAGTGGCACAGCCAATTCGAACGCAATAGGGTAGCCAGATTAGGTCAATGAGAAAGCAACGAGGACGCCGCCAATGGGCGCGTCTATGAGGTACAATGCGTTCCAAACGGGAAACTCCGCTCCTTTTTACTACGAAGGATTGCGCTTGTCAAAGAAGATTTTTTTGGTGGGACATAAGTGTGTCATGGAATTTCTGATCTTGTTTAATTAAAGGCGGTGTAAAAAATAGGTGAGTTGCTGTGCCTAAATCTGGCTAGTCATGGGCGTCCGGACAGCGCATGCGTCAATGCCGAGTGGAGAGAATTGTCCACTCGCGAGTATAGGAATAAGTAGCACAGGTGAGCGACGGATTACCGATAACTGAAGGTGCGCACCGCCTCACTCTTACTTTTCACCGTGATTATAGAAGGTTGATATAATTATTGGTTTTCACTTACAAAAATTAGGAAGAATCTGGTAAAAACTCGACGGATTAAAACACGGATGGAAAAGACGTTTTAATTAATTGCTTATAAATAGAAAATAGACATACTAAAACGTACGTATTACCGTATATACCGTATATAATAACTGTCATTTTATTAATTTTCTAAGAAAAATTATTATAATGCAATCAGTCGGCTCGTTCTCATTCCCTCTTACTCATTTATTTCTATGCGCATATATAAATTGAGTGAAATTATAAAACCGGTTTACTACAGGCGAAACGATAAACACGCTATAAATTTTATATGTACCATATAAAGGTACATCGTCATGCGTAAATTGATCTGTTTCAGTCTAGCGAAACATTCAGTATGGTGAGTAATCGGAATGAATCATTAGTAGTGATATATTCCAACCAAACAACCGCGATTAATAGTATCAGGAGTGAATAATAATAGAATGACTATAATAGAGTGAATAATAATCTATTATTATTCACTCCTGATAGTATGAATGACTTATCGTAGTGGTTATTGTATGCCAAGGTATTCTCGAACAGATTGACCTATATCTTACACAACGACGTGTATTTAATTAGAAAATATTATTATCAAAGTAAACGGCCTTAGACTTTCGCAGCTAGTGAAAATATTTGTCTTTTAACAAACCCTGAATTTTAAATGTGATTGCTCGCGTGGGGTTTTACAGTGATAAATGTTTCTCTCTTTCCCGTCCCTCGCCAAAAATTGTGACTCGCTCTCTACTGACTCTCTGACTCTCTTTCACTCCACACCTGGGCCACCAGCGCATTGAGAATAGCGCGGCGAGGGTACGTGGAATAAATTACAGAAGACTAATGCGATCAACGCCGCGCTAGAAGAATGCGATTCTTCATCTGCTTCTATCTTAATGTTTATTTTTTGGGGGTCAGTCTGTCAAGGTATTAGTAATTTCTTAGGTAATACTATATCTCGGCCTCCTCACAATATCCGCATACCAAACGTGTAATATATTCTCTCCTAATGAGATATAAACGGGTAGGCCGTTGATTTTCCGGCAAACAATCGTGCCCTCGAGGGCCAATGGTGAAATTTAGATTTTCAACGCGCTCTCTCATTGTGCTTTTATATGAGAATTTCATTGTCCTTGATCTTGAAGAAATCTGAACTTGATAATTTCAAACATACATACACACATACATACATACATACATACATACATACATACATACATACATACATACATACCACGCACGCACGCCCACGCACGCAACGCACGCACGCACGCACGCACGCCACGCCACGCACGCACGACGCACGCCACGCAGCCGCACTCGGCACGCACACACACACACACACACACACATACACACACACGCGAACGCACTCACACGTGGTGCACTGAGACCAAGCGTACATGGACCGCCCTTCTTTATCGGTATTTATTCCTTTTCCGGTATTGACTATCCTTAATACGGATCGCTCTCTTTACACAACCGTAAAATGTAGCATCCGTTATACGTTATAGTTATCGTTATCCGTAGCTAAGCTCAAAATCGCTTGTTCAAACTTCAGTTGGAATTAAACGATTATACAGTAATCGTTACGTCGTGACACGACGCTTATAAGTAGATTTTCTAGAACGGGTAACTCTCTGTGTCTCCCCCTCTCTATGTGTATCTGCCGCTCTCTTAATCCCTGCATGTAGTTCACAATAATCCTATGTTATCACTCTCACCCACTCTTACACTCGACCTTTCTTACATCTTCTTCGCACACACTCTCACTTTCGTACTATCGCAATTTATTTCCATTTCGCGCATGCACGCGTGTGAAAGCATAATCCCGGGGCTTCGAATAACTTCAAAAATACGGAGCGATGAATTCAAAGAGCGCGCGAACACGATCGTCAAGCTCTTCACACGATACGCTCGAAAGTTAGGTGCCATGCCCAAATAAGTCATGGGTATGTATGCACTCGATGCTGGCCAGAAAACCTGCTTAGGGCGACACTTTTCTAGTAGCCTCTTGTGAAAACATGCATCGTTAGGCTAATGTTATTTCAATTGGTCAGATACTCCCCCTGGGTTTCACAAAACACGCTTGTGCATGCACATAATTAAGACTATATCTCGCTGTTTTAAATCTTGGTCAGTAGGCCGTTTCAAGTACACTGCATGAAGGTCATTGTGAAGCACGTGATCTGTGCTTTCGCGCATAAATCGCGGCATTGTCCGGACCGACAACGGAAGATTAGACGTCGCGGAACAAAGTAATTGATGTTACCGGCTTGGTGAACTGCAGTGGACAGTAACTACGCTACACACTAGTACTATATAGGAGCACTAAAGAGGGAGCTATACTACTACACCCGACCAGTGTCGGGGAACAAAGCATAATCGCGACGAATCCGCGCCCCGCACCCTCGTACGACTGGGCAAGGAAACTAGGATGAAAATGTGAAGGAAAACAAACGGCAGCCGCACGTGGTTCCGGCTTGACTGCGACAGTGCTCAACGTTACATCGAGTGAAATTCTCCGTACGTGATGTATTTTCTATCGTATTTCAAGGCGAGAACCCCCCCCTCCCCGCATTGCCTAAAGTCGTAAAATCGCTCAATGACTGTATAAGCGATTGTATAATCGATTGGATAAGCGATAAGGGTCGAGGAGTGGTGGGCCGGTGTTCAATTATTCTGTTAGAATAATAATATTTTCAGTTCCGATGGACACCCGCTATGTTGTGCAATGATAACCATGGAATAAAATTGACGATTATCGTTGCTATAGAAGATTACGTCCATGGCTCCACTATATTTCAATCAAATGGCACAGTTTATAAACCCGGTTGAATTAAATTGTGAGTCATTTCACGCATTGCGTAGGTGTGGCTAGAGCCGGATTAGGCGACGTAATGATTCGAGGTCCTGACTTTAATAAAAAGATTAAAAGTCTCGGTCATGAACACATTTTCAGAGCAACGAGAAATCAAGGTTATTTGCTCCAGGATGCGTTTCGTTTCCGCGTTGGTTTCGTGCGTGATAATGAGATCATCGAACAAACTAGGAACGGCGTTACTTCTTTACACGAATGCTAAAGGACCTGCTAATGTGTTTCAAAGCTGAAAAGCTGAGTCACAACTAGCGCAAGTATCGAGCACATAATTATTGTAAGATGTGCCATATTCACGTCAGTCGGTGGTGTTGCGTGCCATTCGAAAAAAGGCGCATTGCGAGGAGTTATTATTACTCCAGATGTCTTACGATGCTCAATAGGCATATGTGTGATATCAGGAGTTAATAAAGACAACTCTTATTGTTTTAAATTAATAATTATATTATAATAATTATTATATATTATATATATATATATATATATATATAAATATTATATATAAATATTAATATAATTATATTATAATAATTATATTAATCCTTCGTTGTCTTTATTAACTCCTGGTGATATAGTACTCCTCATATTACAGAGTCACACACTCTTATTTTTTCATTTTGTTTGTTTCGGCTCTGATTGATATTGTTGGTTTTATTTGAATTATTTGTATCTTTATTGAATTTTAATATCATTTAATTTATAATTTTAATTTTAAGTTTAAAGTTCCATTTAATCTTAATCGTAATTACTCGTTTACGCGTGAAATTAAAATGAAATCAAAATCCAGATTAAAAAAACGACAAGGAAACCCAATTTCTTTTTAAGAGAATGGGTAGTCGATCCTATTCAGATATCTGGACCGGTTTATTGCCTGATGATGTAGTTTAATCACGCAGACCCTGGCGATGATATCTTATAAATGGCATCGCCTTCATATTGAGACTGTCTATAGCAAATCATGACATTTAATCATTCCAATGGGAAACATGTAATACAGTGCAGTCCATGGGATAATTTAGTGATCACTGATTAAATAGACTATTACCCGAACGAGTATTTCACAGCTTTACTCTGCCTGTCTTGACTTGGGTCTGTAAATTAACAAACGTTCACGAGCAAACTAGGAGCGGAATTAATTTCTTAAATGGGTGCTAAAAGATCTGATAAGGTATTTCAAAGCTGAAATGCTGAGTCCCCACTATAGCGCACTAGTATCGAACACATAAATCTAACACATGTGCCAGATTCACTTCATGCAGGCGGTGGTGAAGTGCATTGTGCTTTGCCATTCGAAAAGAAATAGACGCATCACGAGGAGTTGTTATTATGATGTCAGATTGCATAATGTCCTACAATGCTCAATAGGCATATGCGTGATATAGTGCCCCCATATTACACAGTGGCACACTCTTATTTTTTCCTTTTGTTTGTTTCGGCTCGGATTGATATTGTTGGCTTTATCATACTGATTTGTATCTTTATTTAATATTTATTTAATTAA